TTGTAATTAGGTTATATGGCTATATAAGGATCGTTTAGCTATCATTTCTTTAAGTTCTTTTGTATACATTTTCTCCATTTTAATCAATACAATCTTTCTGGTTTTTCTCTCTATCATCTTCATCTTTCTTTGTACCAATTCTTCATCTTTTACAATGTAGTTAATATGGTATCAGAGCCACCAAGGCTCACGCCGGATCTTGGTGGTCGATTCCTCTTTTCTCACTACTTTCTATCTTTCTTCCTTATTTTTTTTTTTTTTTTTTACGCTTATTTTATTAGTGTTTAGTGTTTAGTTTTTGGGGTTTTTTCCTCTGGGTTTCAAGCGCCTTCCTTTCAACGCCAAGAGGAGCCAAAGCAACCAGGCCATGGAGTTAGAGGCTCTCCGCATGGCCTACGACGAAATCAAGAAGGGGGAGAACACCCAGTTGCACAGAGAGGTCGTGCAGAAGATCTCTGAGACTAATCTTGAAGAACTTCAAGAAATTCCCAATTCTGCAAATGAAAAGCTCGTATCTTTGGATTTAATTTCTGGGATCTTGATCCAAGCATTTCCATGGAGAACAGGAATCAAGAACCTCAATTTTTCATCTGGGTTTCCCTGGAAGTGACACAGAGCTGCTTTATCTCCCTCCTCTCGCAAGCTCTCTCCTCCAGTCGCGCTTCCTTACACGGCATCGATACCCGTGACATCATCCACACCTCACGCAAGCTCCCCCATCTTCTCCATGACCAAGATACTGACGATGACAGCTACCGGCCTTCGAAGAGGGCAAGGGCAGATTTCAGAGTGTCAATCAGAGTGTTGGATTCTTCTGGGTTGCTCATTGTCTCCGTGATTGTTTCAGGTGTTGTTATTTCTTTAATTCGAAGATTATAGTCAATTTTTGATATCTGGGTTGCTAAATTCTCAAGATATTGAAGTGGGATATTTCTGATTGATCTGGGATATATGTGTTGATTTGGGTGTTTGTGTTCATCTGCATATATTGCATTGGATATGTTGATGTGAAGAAATACGAAGTTTTGTAGTCAAGAAAGTGTCAATCTTTCAAGACAATGTTATTCTTTCTGCATCAACAATGTGTGGGAGTTTCTGCGATTCTGATGATCTGGTGAAGACATTGGGTGTTTGGTAATCTGAAACGCTTATTTCTTGAAGTTGTGGTCTTTGATGTACTTTCAAGGTTTAATTGAAGTGAAGCTGTGGTCTTGATGTGTTGATCTCTGCAAGTATTAGTTTTCTTGTCAATTTAAAGAAGAAAGTGTCATTCTTTCTATGAGTCTTGGAGTTTCATTCTCCTAAGTTGCAGTATGATTTGGAGTTTCATTCTCCTAAGTTGCAGTATGATTTGTGTTCATGGAGTGTCAGTCTCCTTATTTGGTATTTTTAGTAGAAGTGTGAGATTTGTGTTGTGCTTTGGAGTGTCATTCTCCTTGGCTGATTTGGTTTCTTGGAGTGTCATTCTCCTTGGTAGATTTAGTTTCTTGGAGTGTCGTTCTCCATGGTAGTTTAGTTTCTTTGGAGTGTCATTCTCCTTGGTAGATTTAGTTTCTTGGCAGTGTCAACTATGGATTCTCAGTTCACCGTCGAAAACTTGTTGGATATGTTCAGACCAGACCAGATTAATATGACAGTTTGGGACTTCATTCTTCTTGCACTTCCTACTGTTTGTGGCATATCTGATACTGTAATTGAAGATCGTTGTGGTGTTGAACATGGCACTGATGAGTGGTATGAGGCACTGGATCGGCATTTTAAGTGGCTTCTTCAATACAAAATCAGTTCATATTTTTGCAAATTTCAAAGATGCTCACGGAAGAACAGGGCATCACTGGGCGTCCTATTTTGAAGGAGAGGAAACTGTCATTACGTTACTTCGATTGGGCGCCGCTGCATCTTTCCCAGATCAATCTCACTTGGCTAGTTCAAACTTCACTTGGATACTCCAGAGTTCAGTTTGAGGGGGGAGTAATAACTGATATAACAGAAAGGGGTATTATTGTAATTAGGTTATATGGCTATATAAGGGATTGTTTAGCTATCATTTCTTTAAGTTCTTTTGTATACATTTTCTCCATTTTAATCAATACAATCTTTCTGGTTTTTCTTTCTATCATCTTCATCTTTCTTTGTACCAATTCTTCATCTTTTACAATGTAGTTAATACAAGCAACAAAGAGAGGGAGGAGTTACAACCATATACAATATATACAGGTTGTGTATTGCTGGCAATGACATTTGAATGAGAGGTAGAGAGTAAACTAGAAACAACTGCAACTGAAAAAATAACAACAATCTTGTACTACATAACATATACCAAGCAGCACAAGAATCTTCAAATTAAAAACAAAGACATTAATCACCATGACATTGCCTAATCTGCGAGCTCTTTTGGGTTCCTTGGCCGTCTTTCTTTTTGTGCTAGCCGACCATCTTCATGTGGTTGCTGCCAACCGCGGCCGGTTTGGAGTTCACCACCCCATAAAGCACCATAAACCAAGGTTCACTGCTGGCCCTTGGAAGCAAGCTCATGCCACACATTCTACGAAGGTGGCTCGGGAACGTTTGGCGGAGCTTGTGGTTACCACGACGTGGTTCAAGAAGGCTATGGCCTCGAGACAGTGGCTCTGAGCAATGCTTTGTTCAACAATGGGCTGTCATGTGGTGCATGCTATGAAATCAAGTGTGTGGATGAGCCCCAATGGTGCAAGCCAGGGAACCCTATTCTCTCTGTTACTGCAACCAACAATTGCCCACCAAATTGGAATCAGGCTAGTGACAATGGAGGATGGTGCAATCCGCCACGCGAGCATTTCGATATAGCCAAGCCTGTGTTCTTCAACATTGCTGAGTACAAGGCGGGCATTATTCCAGTCACGTACCGCAGGTGATTAAATATGCATGCATTAAATAGATTGAATTTTTGATACGTATAAACGGTTTTATTACGAATATTAATGTTGTGAGACTCGCAATCTAAACCTCACATTACTAACATAAGGATTTTGATGGTCAATATTGAAAAGCATGATAACATAACATGTACATACATATTAATCGCATAGCGAGAATATTTCCCGTTGTAAAAAAGATTTTAACGATTGCTAGAAATTGTTTTGTAGGGTTCCATGTCAGAAGAAAGGAGGCATGCGATTCACAATAACTGGGAACCCTTATTTCAATGAAGTGTTGGTATGGAACGTGGGAGGAGCTGGGGACATCATCAGCGTGCAGGTGAAGGGCTCCGACAAGCTCAAATGGACAGCAATGAGTCGGATGTGGGGTCAGCGGTGGGTTACCGGTGCCAAGATGGTCGGTGAGTCACTGACCTTCCGAGTTGAAGCAAGTGATAGAAGACACTCAACTTCATGGCATGTTGCCCCAAAGACTTGGCAGTTTGGCCAGACTTTTGAAGGGAAGAACTTCCGATAGATCAAAAGCACGTTATAAGCTTGGATGCTTCGTGCATGTTGAACTCCTCCACACCATATTATGTGAACTAGTTTGGCTTGTCATTACAAATGTATATATACTGACCATGGAATTCTTGCCCGACCATGTAATAATAGAAGCAAGGCACTCGTATACACCATACCACTTTTTCATAAATTGTCCACCTTCAATATTTTTCTTGAGTGGTTCTACACTCACCCGCCTCTCATATCTCTTGACCCACCATATATTCATTTGTCACGAACATTTTCACTAGTAGGTGTTGATTGTAAAATAAGATTGGCAGTTGGAATTACATCACTCTTTTATCTTTTTATTTTTCCAATCGGACATGTCGTTGTTAGATCAGTTGAAAATTATTATTTCTCAATTTGGTTTTCTCGCATGCCTTTCTTCGTTCATGGTTCATATTTTAGTGTCCTAGGCGTTGAGGAACTACATCAATCCATCCTGATTCCTCACAATTGTTCCTTGTGATGCACCAGAACCATGGCCATTACACTACCACAAAATACCATTTGCCTACCCACATAAGAACCACAGTGAATGTAGCTCAATTTTGAGAGATGAACCACTTGAAGATTTTAGTACCCTTCATTCTAGTCCATATCCCAAGCCCACCAAAGGGTTTAGTATTTTAATTTGTTAATCTGCAAATTTTGAGTGTTAAAAGTTTGGCGCTATCTATGAGAAACTCATGCAATTTGGTTGCTTTTTTCACCCAACATCTTAGGAACTTTCTGTGATCGAGGTCAACCGCGCGGGATGACCAGTAGAAGAATGAGAGATGGGGTCTTTTCGGGCAGACCCGAGACGACCCTCCGAAGAGGACGACGAGAAGAGAGGGCCAGGCTCTCCGGAATAGAGGAGAAGATGAATAACATACTTGCCGGTGTTGGAGAGGTGAATGAGGTAAGGAATCTCCTCCACGCCCAAAACAGCCTACTCAAGGAGAAGCATGACGACCTCCTGGAATAGATCAACCAGACGACCGAGAAGATCGGCAGCACTTCCCGAGTGGGGGCTACTCCTAATCCTCCCAGTCCCCCAAGCGACGTCGGGAGCGGAGGTGAGGATGCCCGCGAGGTCATCAACAAAAGGCTCCGAGCAAAGGAGAGTGCTCGAGGAATCAGGGATCGAGCCGTCGAACAGGCAACGAAGCGCTTGATCGAAACTCCACCTGACCGCCCTGACTTAAAGCAGCACCCTGAAGGAAGTCACTAGTGAGGAAATGAAACTTAAAATATAGGTGATCAAATTTTTTCTCTTTTTCATAAAATATAACTAAAATTCGTCGCTTTAACCATAGATGATTTTTCAGACACGTGAAGGGAGGTATCGCTGCACCAGGGTTAAGGGGGCGAGTGCTTTACTTTTGACTTCAGATGTTCTAAACCATTAGATTTAAAAAAAACTAATAAAAATGACTTGAAAACTTTGAGTTTTATCGATAAAGACAAAATAAAGGATAAAGTGAATAGTATCAAAATTGACTTTCTAGTGTAAAAATATGATTTTTCGTTAAATTAAACAGTACTGGAAGCTTTTCGTTAAAATTCCTTTAGATTTATGGTAAATTTAAGTAATTGGAACAGTGTTGGCATCAACCAGATAAAATGTTTAGTAAGATTTCCTCGGCTACCGTTAATAAACTACAACAAGAAGTCTGATTTAAACTGGCTACCAAATTGGAGTCTCCCCTATCCTTTCCACTACAAGATTCCCAGCAGAACACCGGGCGATTTTCAGTGCCTTGAAAACTCTGGGATGAACCACCACCAGTGCAGTATGCAAACAACGAAACGTAAACAATTTGAGGAAAACTTCTGCACTTGTCTTGATGAAACTGACAGTAGCATTGGGCATCCACGAGGCCCTTCCAGTCAGTGAAGAATACTTCAACACTAATAGGCTTAGCGTGCATTAATCCCACAACGCAAATTTCTCAAAACAGCCAGTTATTGTAGACTTAACTCATTTGTCGAACAATCTAACATGTACGTCACTTGGATTCTTGCTCTTTCTCCTCCTCTTTCTTCCATTTCTTCTCTCGTATTTGTCCTTGCTTCTAGACTCTTAGAATGCTGCGCACGAATTTCCTGTAACTTTGATTTTGCATCTTGAAACAATCCACCTGATTTCGAAGCCCTCAGTTGCTGAAACATGAAACCTAATGAGTAAAAGTATTTTCCTTGGACGATAAAACATATAGCCAGAAATTTAATGGCCGCACCTTAATATGCTCCATTGCTGCAATGTTGTAACCAATAGTATCTTTGCATTCCTGAGAGAGATTAAATCCTCATCATGTAAAAGCCAATCTTTAAATTGTAAAAGTTTTTACGCAGAAACTACATAAAGGGGAACTTCCGTAGCATCCTTTTCTTTTATACACAATTAACTTCATGTTACTTTTGGATCAAGGCAGCAGTAGTAACAAGTGTTATATTAACATAATAAAATTTCTCTGTACAAATGTGCAACATTACGATTACCTTAACTCTTGGATAAATCTCTTCCAACTCTGACAACACAAGTCTGGCTGCCAGCGTACTAAGTAACTGATTATAATGTATCTGCACCAGGAATGTACAAACCCTGCAAACAAGTTCAATCTGCAAAAAAAATAAAAGTTGAAAACGCTTTAAACACTAAAACTTAAGATTTTTTCATTCCTTTATAACATTTCATGTCAGCCCTAAGGCAATAACCGCCTACAAATTGTGTAAAATAAATAAATACAAGCATGAGTGCTGAATGCTTACAGTAATTACAAGTTCTAACGAATATGTGATAAATAATAACCACTTGGAAAAAAACTGGGTTAAAAGATAGATAAAGGCATGTGCAACAAATAAATATCAATAGATGCCAATGTTTTGAACAAGTGTAGAGACGCCAACCTTATCAGGATTCGAAGTCCAGTCCTTCAAGAAAGACAAGAGCTTCAAAGCGTCTGAGAATGATAGAGCCTGCAAATAATGCAGTTCAAATTAGCCTTACATTGGAACTGAAACGGTGAAGTTACAACTACACTTGACCATATAAAGATATATAGTAAAATCCCAGGGAGAGAAGTTAAAATGGCTTCAGAAAACAAAAGATGCACAGTGCACTCTGATTTTTGAATCAGTTGATTTCATTGGAGTAGATTGCCAGCAGCTTTAATTGAGAATTTGAATATATACAAGTACAGTTGTACGAGCTTCTTCAGGCAAAGTGGATGGCACAAAAACAAAATCCAAAAGGAAACTAAACACAAGGACCCGATTCATTTTAGTAACGCCACATTCCATTTACTGATTCAACAAAACTAAACCAAATATGCATTTGAAGAAATACCAGCTAAAGAAAAAAGTCAAACTACTAAAATGTTGAGCTAGCAGTAAGGGACTTTCACTTGTTTCAATGAGTAGCCATGTAAGGAAAACCACAAGCATACCAGTAGCGTCTGTTCCAGATCATTTGTCTGAACATTTGAAAGGGCACGAAGAACATAATCAGATGGAGAGAGCCCAAGCAAAACAACATTTGGTTGTAACTCAGCAACTTTCCCCTTGCTTTTCTCCTCCTGAAAGGCATGGTGAGAGAATTGAATTGAGATACCACGGAGATTATGTTGCAGTGTTAAACTAGAGATCAAACTGGTAGAGATTATACAGCAAAAAACCAAACAGACCTCATGTTCGGCGATTCGCTTCAATTCTACCTCTGCTATATCTAGTGCGTCAATAATTGAATCAGTAGCTGTAATTGTTTCTTTTGATTTCTTCCCTGCTAAGGCCACAGCTCCCTCTTCAGGAATTTCTTCCGTGGGTGCATACTTGTTCTCAAATGCATTATCGAGGTCAGACTCAAACATCTCTTCCAACCTTTTCTCTTTCTCTTCCTGCAATTTCAAATGAAAATTTTAGTAAAGCAACAGGCATGTCATACAGAAGTCCCATTTTTATCCTAAAGCATCACCAGAAGAGATAGACAAACTACAGAATATAAAAAAGTAAAAACAAAAGTTCAAGTGTAAAGTCTCTTTCATCCTTCACAAGAAGCAATTACCTCGATAAAAAAGGGCTCTTCAGTACGATCCCAACGACGTATTGATCGGTCATGAGATCCCGTAACAATGAAATCACCACGGTTACTAATTCCAAGGCACCAAACATCCGCATGGTGTCCCTCAAGAGTTAAAAGCAACTCAAATTTATCAGCGTCCCAGTATTTGACTAGGCGATCTTTCCCGACACTAAACATGTAATGTGTATTTCGTACAAATTGCACCGCCATGACACTGCATCATCGAACAATTCACTAAAATTGCCAATGAACTTCAGACATCAAAATTTATGTTTGTTCATACAAAAACTATACCTGTCAGCATGAGCGAATATGGATTTATGACAATCACCAAAATCTAAACCCCAAATCTTCAAATTTTTGTCAGCAGATCCAGTCACTAATAGATCGCCATCAGATGATAAATCCATGCATAGAACAGGCAGCTTGTGACCATATAAGGAAAGGAAAGGTTTCAACGTATCCATATAGTAAACCTAAGAATAGGAAGCATAAATGCATTTAGGGTTTCAACGTATCCATATAGTAAACCTAAGAAAGGAAAGGCTTCAACATAACCACATTTTTACACTAAAAAGTCAATCTTCGTACTATTCACTTTACCCTTTATTTTGTCCTTATCGTTAAAACTCAAAGTTTTCAAACCCTTTTCATTAGTTTTCCTTTAATATTAAGGGGAACAACAATAAATCTTCAGGATACAAAATGTTTTCTCCAAACCCTATAATTTGATCAAAACTAATCCTGAGCATTTCTTACCAGAAGTTTTCATCAAAGATAGCTTATAGACATCATGATCGATTTAATCAATCTTACCAGAAATTTTCATCAAAGATAGCTTATAGACATCATGATCGATTTAATCAATCTAATATCCGTATCCTCACTATTTTAGTTTCAGATGCTATGGTACTGATCTTTACATAATTAATCGAGCATTTCATGCATGAAAAGAGAGGTACTACTTCTGAAAATGTAGATACAGAATATAGATGCTAAACAAAAGTCAAACTAAATAATGATACCTATTCACATGTACAACATTTCTTAGAGTTGAATTTCAAAACTACATATTCTGTTGGATAACAATCTACGAAGAATCTAACATAAGAAACAACTGAAACCAAATGAAGACATAATGAAAATTGAGTGGGTAAGATTAGTCAATTTGACCTTCACTGTGCAGTCCAACAGAGCAACCAAAACATATTTTGCATCAGGGCTGACAGCAACCACAAGGACATCATCATTCATCTTCATAGTCCTTACATTTGACACCGTTAGGTGCTTAGAGTCCTGTTTCAAACATAGTGAATCTGGATATTAAGATTTTTAATGAGAAAAAAAAAACAGAGATAAACAACATCTAGAATGAAATAGAAGATACAGCCATTATAAATGATCACATTCCCTCACCACTCACTAGATATATATGCCCACTCAAAACCTTAAATGGTGGCTCATCCAAATTTACAATTATACTTGCAAATGATTTAAAGCATCCAGGAGTTATAGCAGAACATATTTCAGTTTATATATCACCAAAGCAGTTTATGGATTTTAGAGAACAGTCCAAACAGGTTATATTGTCACTTTTCTAAGATAAATAAATAAATTAAAACAGCGCCATTTTCAAACATATAGCAGGTTACTACGTTCAGATAGTAATTTAATCTTTCATGAAATTATAGTTATGTTATGCGGTCTCTGAATTGCAGGACCCCATCCATTGCCCTACCTGGCAGACAAGAAGTATGACATTTCATTAGAGTTATTTGTCAGGTCGTTGAACACTTGTTTGAGTACATAAGCATGTTTATAGTTTATCCCGTATTTTACTATCTTCCATGTTTCTTTTTCTCGGTGGATCAGGTATAGCCTGACCCAGGAGACTATCCATTCATGACATTCCCAAGAATGTAACACCAAAATTGGTAGGACCAATTAAACAAACAACACAAACCGAGTCTATAATAAGAAACAACAAAGACATAATACCCCAATATCAATCAAGAAATCGTGGCAGTCAAGAAGGCAAATCTCTGTAAATTATTCCACAAATGTGCAGTAAGTTTAACTAGCCAAAAGTAAATATAATCCAAATATTTTCTTTCTAAGCTACAGTGTAGAACAGATCCTACAATATCTTAAACTCCAACTATAACATAAAAACCACAAACATAAACAAATTTCCATCTGTAAAGAACTCTTATGAATAAAAGGAAATTAAAAAGGAGAATTATATGATATAAAAATAAATAAATAAATACAAAAGAATTGTTCATATCAAAAAGTGTTGTGAACATGTTGAGCAGGTTGAGAACTGTATCATGCTTCAGAACTACGTAGTGTATCCCAAAAGAAAAAAGCATACTGATAATACTACAAGATTAGAACTGCAAGTAGAAAGAAGGTAAATATTACATACTTGGGGAGACTTTTGTTTAACTTGGTATTCCCAAAACTTCACATCGTGATCTGCACTTCCTGTGACAAAACCATTTTCATTGGGAATGGCTGCAATGGAGCCAACAGTGCCACCATGAGCTTCCACTACTTCAATGCAAGTGCCACTTCCAATGTCAATAATTTCCACTGTTCCGCCTTTAGTTCCGACAAGTGCATACTTGCTATTAGGAACGATAAAACCACACATGCCATATCCAGAATCAATAGTTCGAAGGCAGGAACCAGTGCTTGGATTCCAAATCTTTACCGCATTGTGACTAGTTGACATCAAGAGTGTGTTGTCTGAGCTAAGTGTAACACTTCTGACATCAGACCGGTGCCCTTGGAGCTCTATAGTATGTGTTTTTGTTGTTGCTTTGCTTTCAATCGAATAAAATTCCAATGAATTATTGTTCAAAGACAAAGCTATTGTAGCTAGCAAACTCTTTGGAGTGTTAGGACAGAAAGAGATGGAGCATATCTTTTTGCTAGCTCGAATAGTTTGAAGAAGCTTGAAGACATCAGGAACCATAACCACAGGACTATTTCCTTCTTCTCCAGCTCCGTGATTTGTGTCGCCATTTTCCATCACCTCAGTTGCCCCTTTTGCAGATTTTTTTTCTTTCTTCCGGTGAAGCCTACGTTTTGCCTTACGCTTTGATTCAGCCTCATCTAGTACCTGGAATACATCTACTGTCTTACCTGCCACTTGACAAGCCAACAAATTACCAGACTTGTTGAATCTCACAGTTGCAACTCTATCCTTGCTTTGTCGCTGAACTTCACCAAACAGTTTCAAAACTTCCCATTTATTTTTGGTCGATGACTCTCCATCATTCACAATTTCATTTTCGCCTATATTAGAAATGGATTCCTCATGTATCACTTCATGCTTAATTGTGTAAAACCTAAGTTCTGGATCCGAAGACCCAGTGACCAAATATCTTTCTTCTGCATCACTGTCTATGGACCAAATTTCGCTATGGTGGCCACTAATTGTCTGCATGCAATGCTGGGTATCAAGATCCCACACCCTCAAAAATTTATCTTTTGAGGAACTGACGAGTTTTTTACCAGAATCCAGGAAAAGGAGGTCAGTCACCTACATTACATGAATGAAACAGACTAAATAAATTATAGTGCTGTAGTGTCAAACTCGGAAATGATGTAAGTAAGATCAACAAGCAAAGCCCATCACTCGTTCCAGTAAATCCAAAATTTATAGGTTTAATTTGGAAAACTGTAATACAAACCTGATCTCGATGGCCACGGAGGCGATATAGGCCGGTCTCACCAACCACATCCCATAATATAATGTCATTATCTTTTCCTCCAGATGCAAGCATAGATCCAAGCTTGTTGTAGCGTAAAGCGGTGACAGCTCCTTTATGTCCATTCAATGTGGTCTCGCAGGTTCCTTTGTCGGAATCCCAAATTCTTATACTACCATCAGCATACCCACTAGCTACCTGCAATCAGAACTAGTTACACCTTTTATATCCACCATACCTAACTTTTTAGAACTCTAATCATATATCTTTTGTTAATACATTCAAATTCCATTGGGACTTTTCTCTTCATTTAATTGTAGTTTCCTATCAAACGTTTACTGGGATTGACAATTTGACATTAACCCAACACAGTTACGCAATTGGTAAATAAATAAATAAATAATTTGAGGTACTCAGTTTCAATTTTGTTGGAGGAGGTTGTGCGTTTCAAATCTAATAGACAAACATTTGTTGATTAAACCAAAATAATTAGTCAGAAAATTAACATCGTGACAATGTTGTTGCTTATTGATCCAAGTTTATTTTATTTCAAAAAACCCAAAGACAAGGTACAAGTGATACAAATATTACAAGGTCCCTCCAAAACTTTAAATTGAGACCCACAAAAAAGAAAGATTGTAGTTGGCATCTTGAAAAGACAACGGGGGCTAAGCATGGAGACAAAGTTTCTACTCACAGCTTGATAGTTGAGATGGCTTTGCAGACTTTATATGAGATCATAACAGAAACAGACATAGTTGGCATCTTGATATTAGACACGCTCTATAGTCTATATGTGCTTTCGTGCTTTTTCTTGGATTTTATTATTGAAAGTGATGAGACTGAGGGATCAAAGAGAAGGGTACTTTGAACCATGCCCTGCTGTTTCTGTTATGAAGTAAGAAGGGGGCGGAATGTAGGATTTAATCTCTATATACTAATTTATCATCAAGTGGACTAAATTCAACTAAAACTACATCCTCTGCTTACTTGAGCCAACTTACACATAGCAACTCAGTTCGAAAGCTTACCATAGAAGTATGCGAGGATGCGATGGAGGTGACAGATAGAGAGTGTCCCCGCGATGCAGCAGCAGGGATTAGTGTTCTGGTACAAACGCCTTGCCGTACATGCCACACACCTACCTTCTCCAAGGCCGGAGCAAGAAGGTGCTTCCCGGAGCTGCCGTATGTGATGTTGGAATCGACGGAGACAATGACACCGAAAGCCACCGCCTGCTCATACCGCAGGTACGACTTCACCATGGCTAATTCTGCATAACGAAGAGTAATTGAAGCAGCAGATAAGGGCTTACTGAAAAGTAATTTCTAAGACATTGGATACAAACATCAAAACCCAAAAGCCAAAAATTGAATAAATATCAGCTTTAAGATTTCACCGCCATCAATTCTATAATTTGATTAAACACAATTCCAGAAAAATAAACAATTTGAGCCACTGAAAGACTGAAACTTTATCGATTTTGGAAAAGTCGAAAAGAAATCGTGGGCAATTTGGGTTAAAAGCTAAATACCTCTGGTTCTCCGAAGGTCCGGACTGAAACTATGGCCACTGGGCGCCGGCGGAGAGAGACGGAGAAAGGGAGGGACTACAGAGAGGAGTGTTTTCTGTTGTTGAGGATTACAGACAGGAATTAGGAAGGAAGGAAGGTGAGCGGGAGGAAGAAGGGTTTAGGGTTTAGGGTTTTATGTTTACAATTACCATAATACCCTATCCTTTTTAATTTATTAAAATTGCTAAGAGTTAAAATGGGTTTTGATTTGCACTAATTTAATGTTTGCATTAATTTCATGTCTAATTAGACGTTAAGTGGTGATGTGGCATAGACTTTGTCACATTTTAAGCTACTCGTTGACTGTCAATTTCAATGTTTAGTACTTTACTCTTTTAAACCTTTTAAGAAATTGACAATCAATGAGTGCTTAAAGTGTGGGCTAAGTCTATGCCACATCACCACTTAACATCTAACTAAATGATGAAATTGACGGAGACGTTAATTGATACAATTCAGAAATCACATGGTGTAAAATGCAAAAATTTAAACGTCATGGTTTATTTTGCAAATAACCCCCAAACTTGTGATATAAAATGCACTTAACCCAAAAATTATTTTTGCTCAAAACAGAATTGGACAAAGCCGGAAAGAAAGCCCAAAGATCAAAGTATGAAACTGAAACTTAAAGCCCATCAAAGATGGGAGGTTGGTCCATACGCCACTGTGCCAAATCCCATCTACCAATATCTTACCATGATCATGATTGGAAAGCTAACGGTTCCGACTATAATATTTACATAATAAAAGTACATTAATTATAAGTTTGTAACCTCTGATTTAGCCATTTGGACACTCCACCACAAATGGAAGAACAAACAATTCCGACTATAATATTTATATATAATGAAAACACGTTAATTATAATTTGGTGAATCCATTTGGATACTCCACAACAAATGTTGCCCTTGCCCTAAAGTGCCTCTACTGCAGCATGTAGACTTCTCAATGGTTATATAATTAACCGCGGCAAGTGGTCTAGTGAAATTGTGATAGAGTTTCTAGTCATGTGTACTCCTTGGTCTTTTGTTCGACGTATGAAACTGACAAAAAACATGGGTAATGCTCTGGTTGAAAGCTTCGGGCTTCACTGAAGATTAGTCCTACCTTTTGGGATGTGGGATACCTTAAGCTTGGGAAAAAAAAGTTCATATAGTTTACAGATCATTAGAACGATTCAAAAGAAAGACGTACTTAAACCCATCTTCTATGAATTTAATAGTATAATTTGCATGCATGCCTGTGATAAAAGTAGCAATCGATAAATATTAAGTAGTTGAATTAATTGATTATTCTTCTAAGTAATTGATTTATGGAAGATAGAAGGTCTTAATCATCCTTATCATATTGATGAAGTTCTGAAAGGCTTCTCCACTCAAATGGGCATGAACCAATCTCCTGAAGCTGCCGCGGGCGCATATACTCCAGCAATTGATAGAATAATTAGGTTTTGTCGATATAAATTTCCGCCGTCTTCAGTCTTAAAGAAAATGCACCTGCAAAACAATCAACATATTTGATAAAAGACCTAAGCCTCACGCACCCACGAGGTGTGGTGGGCTAATGGATCTCTGATGCCTAAGTCAGTTTATCTGAGAAGAGTAAAGTGTTTAGGGCTTTTTTAGGGTAGCAAAAGCTTCTTAAATTTGGTAGAATATGAAGTATTTATAAGAGGAGAGGACCGGCCATAGTGTTAGGGTTTTACCTACACATGGCTTCATCCTATTGGCCAAGGTTTATGGAGAAATATTCTCAAGATATTAAATAGGAGATAATATCTTGAGATAATGGAGTAATTATCCCTAATTGATTTAAATTAGGATTACTTACTGGAATGGAGTCAATCTTCAATTGGGAATGTATAAAGATATGATTTGGGTAATTAATTCTTATCTTTAATGCTTTCACAAGATATGATGTGGGCAGTCGTATTCAGTTGTTAGGACCTTCAAGGGTGTGAGAACTGCGCATGGGAGTATTTGAGGAGTCTGCCCATTTATTAAGGGCAATCTTATCTTTCTTGAGCAAAAGTTCACATGTCGCCTCTAGAATTTTTGGGATTATTTTAGGCTCCACAAATGCCCCCACACCTGCTGGGCTGCACGTAGGAAAATGGCAGTAGGTTTAGAAATCCCAAGCTACATGGACTTGTAGAGTTGTTTCCCTATTTGAACTTGATCTCCTTTCTTGATTTGGAGATAGACTTTTTCTAGGAAAAATTGCCCCCAATACCTATTTAATTCTGCCTTAAGCAGAGGATTAAATAAATTTGGAGAACAATCATCATTCCAACAAGGAAGAGAGAAGCCAGAGGAAAATTTTCCCCCCTCCCCTAACTTTCTTCTTCTCTTGCCCATGCAAAGAGTTGTCTCTCATTGTTGTTGTTCTTCTACGTGCCGCACCAAAGTAAGAAAAGACTTGAATTTTCTTATTCTTGATTTTTTTTTTGGAGTTTTGGGACTTGAAAAATTGGCTCGACGAGGGTTGAGGAGGCGTGAGAAACACGTGGCAAGGATGTCATGGAATTGCTGGTGGAGCGGCATAGGGATCGATTGGCATGGGCCAGGTGATCGGCTCAGCTTGGGCCAAGGTGACCGATGCACTAGGCGCTGGGCTGGGCAAGCCTTGAGGCTTTAGCCCATCTAGGTTGAGCTTGCACGGGCCTGATATAGTGGGCGGAAATGAGAAAGAGATCGGCATGGGCCGGGTCTCTTTTGCTGGCATGTTGGGTTGAAAGACCTTAGGCCCTTTGTGGTGCGTTGGGTGCGTGAAGGAGAGGGAGTCAGGTCTAGGCCGTGGGGCTTGGTTGGCTGCTGGGCTCCTGCGATTTAGGCCCATACTGCACAGAGAGAGTGAAGGCTGGGCCGTAGGGCCTAGCATAGGGGCACTGGGCTCTACAGTCCTTTATTATTATTATTATTATTGCAAGTTGCCTCTTAAATATTTTTTTTCTTTGCACTTTTTGTAAGGACTTTGAGATGTCTTCTTCCGATCTAAAAAATGATGAGTATCTTCTACCTTTATACTGTCAAGGTGGTTCTTCCGGTAAGGTGGGCTACTTCAAGGTTACATATGTCAAGATCAATTCCGATAACTGTTTCAGGATTTTCTTGAGATGTACAAGCATGTGATTCCGTCAGGGGTTCGTGTTAAGCTGGTGAAGGATGATAGCGGCTATAAACCGTGCGACAAGGGTGCCATTGCTAAGAAGAGGGCTATCAAATTCCATCTGTATTACTTCGTGTTAGGATTTACTTTTCCTATGCTGCATCTTTTCCAGGAGGTGATCTGCTCCATGAAATGCGCGCCTGTTCAGTGCTCCCCAAATGCAGTTCGTGCAATGGTGGGGTTCTCATACTTGAGCAGGTTCTTTGATCTTGGCTTGACCATAATTGAGTTATGGTACTTCTTTGAAATTGGCCACAAGGAATGAGTGGGACAGTTGAGGTCTTACCATAGACTGTTTAATGCTTCCTACAAAGGTGATCATGAGTGGGCGAGGGACACCTTGGAGGTTAGTGGAGAGTAGGAGTCTGACTCCTCTCCTTAGCTACGTGTTCCGACTGTCTTTATCAATGGCAAGTGAACTGCTTCATTCCTGGCCTGCTTGAATTTTTGTTGAGCTGCTCTGCGACTTCAGTTTACTGATTGTCCTTCTTACTTTGTGTAGATTTGGAATTTAACTCAACTCTAAGAATTTCGGTGGATATGAAGAAAGTGCATATCGCCTTGGGCATTCCTGCTGAGTATCATGAGTGGCGCTGGCTGCTTAATCTTATTCTTCAGGATAAAGGCAGGCTACTTCCGAAGGAAAAGATAAAACGGATAAAAGATGAGGCGCTTGGTCTTCCGATCGCTGCTGTAGAGCCTGCTACCAATGAGGGTGGGAAGAAGAGATTTTCCTCACCTGTTTATGAGCCTTCAGCTGAGAAGAAGCCAAGGATTTCTTCTGCTGCTCGCAGGGGCTCGTCTGCTGCTAAGAAGCTTGTCATCGATCTTACTTCTCCCAAATGGACAAAAAATACCGTTGAGTCTGAGCCTGTAAAACCTACTACTCCGAAAGTGGCCACGACCATTGTTGAAATGATTGCTCGGCGAAAAGGTTTGGTGGTACCTCTGGTGTCTGGGTTCGTGTCGAAGCGCGTGTCGAGAGCTAAGTTTGATTCGGCTTCTGATAGGCTCGCCACTACGAAAAGCATGAAAGTGGATCCTACTGCTAAGGTGGTGCCTGGGCTTGTTCCTCATTCTGTTGTGACTAATTCGTCTGATGAGAAAGGGAAGTCTGCCCGCACGGGCAATTGTGAGAGATCCACTAAGTCTAAGGTTGGGGAGTTTCTAAAGGTTTGTGCACTGCTGAAGGCTTACTTGCTTGAGGACATTGATGCGTGCGGTCAATTTGTTGACAATGTTGGGAAAGTTATCGTCCGCTCAAACTCTTTTGTGAAGCATCCTGCCTACTCGATGAGGTTTTCCTTGCTTGCTACAATGCATAAGACTTTGATCTTGGCAGCTAAGTCTATGCGCGTTGATCAGAATGTTGTCAAGTGTGCTAAAGAGGCTGAAGTGGCATTAATGACTCAACTTCGCTCGACTGCTGAAAAGATCGTGAATCTCGAATATGAACTCACCATTTTGAAGAGGTCTAATGTCACTACCCCCACTTCTATGCAGCTAGAGACCGCTCATCAGGAGGTTGCCCATTTGAAAGCTAAGCTTAGTACGACTCAGGTGATGTTGGAAGCTACAAAGAAGGAAGTTAGTCGTGTTGCACCAGTGGTCAAAGACCTTGAGTGTGTCAATTCTGAGTTATGATCTGCTTGTTTTGCCAAGGAAAATGAACTTGTCTTCATGCATGCTGAAATGTTTCATTTCAAGAATGTTGCCAGTAAGCTTGAGTTCAAGGAAGTGGATCTGCAAGGTGCGTTGTCTGCTAGCGAGAACCTAAAAAAGGAAATGTGTAAGCTGTAGGACGCTCACACTTGGCTTGTTGAAGAGAATGTGCAAATGAAGAATGAGAAGGTCGGTCACGAAATGACGTTTCCTTCTTGTCAGGCCGATTTCTACAAGCTTGGCTATGTAGATCATCTTCAGGGTAAGGCCATCGGATTATGAGTTTTCCAAGAATG